TTACTAAAGTTTAATATAAATATATTAAAGTTTATTATTGATAATAATTATTCATTTATTGCGTTTCAAAAAAAAATTATTCATTTATTAATAAAATATAAAATATTTAAACTTTTGTTGATATAAGGACTCAAACTTGTGTATGGATGGAAAGTAAACCAAGCCTTTGCCAAGTGTGAGTGAAGGAACAAATGCATGTTTTTTCTTTTTATGTTTAAATTTTTGTATATTTTATAATTATGGATGAAATTTATAAGTTTTAATATTGTAATTTGCAAAAGAAAAAAATTGATAAAATTTTAGTCTATTGGTCCAAAACCAAACTCACTAAACCAATTCAATTTTGGTTCGTTTGGTCTTCTTTAAAATTTTGTTAGTTTTTGTCGATTTTTTAAAAAAATTTTGATCCATTTAGCTTTTAAATATGACGGACCAAACCAACTAATCCACCCATTTACTCACCCATACCTAACCTTAGGATTCAAAGAGTTATTACTTGTTAAGAATGGAATATTCCCCTTATATTCACTTAAGGTGATAAATCCATTATTGATCATTGGCTTTCTTTCTTGTATTTCATGTTATACTCAATATCCATCCTTTTTTAGCATAGGACCACTTTAGCTTGTATCAAAGTGTTAACTTTATGATTGATTCTTGTTTTAATATGACAAAAGCTAATGATCAAAATATTAAATGCCTAGGGCATTAGGACTTTAATGAAAAACTTCTATGAATTTAATTGACAAATAGGCTAAGTACTTAAGTTTAATACTTTTTAAGGGGCTTAAACTAACTTGAAGTACCAAGACCTTGAGTGAAGGTATCGAGACTTTTTACTTTGTATGCCTTAAGAAACAAACTAAGTATGAAGGTGTATTGAGATAACTCTAGACGATATCGAGATTCCATGAAGAGAAAGACAAAATTATGGAGAACGACTACTGAAGTATCGAGATTGAAGCTTCACGTATCAAGACAACTTCTCAAAAAAGCAAAACTCTAGAAAGCAAGCATCAATGTATCGAGACACACAATTTGAGTATCGAGACTTTGCTTGCATAGAAGAAGATTGAATGTACCGAGATGGTAGATCTGTAGTATTTACACAACACCTTTAGAGAACATGGAACAGAAAACATGTGTCCAAGTATTAAGACTCAATGAATCGTATCAAGATTGAAAACTTCAACATTTAAAACTTCAGAGGTCAACTGCTCATGTACAAAGATCAACTTGCAAGCATATTGAGACATTATCTCGAGAAGTGAATTTTAGAGAGCAAGCTACAATGAATTGAGACCAAACCAATTAAGTATCGAGATAAGGCTTTCTCAGAATTGCTTAAGGAAGATTAAAGTATCGAGAAAGGCATCTAAATTATTGAGACACCAGTAAAGAGTGGAACTTAAAGTATCGAGACTCTGATTGCAAGTATCGAGACATCACATTAGACAAACTAAAGGAAGATAAAGATAATGGCTAGAATTTTGAATTTCAAAAGCCAAATGGCTAGATTGAGGTCTTTTGATATAAATAGAAGGCTAGAACTCATTTGTGAGTTAAGAGAGCACATTGAAAAGAAATCCTAAGCAAGAGTGAATCCTTCAAGAGAAAATCCCTTATTCTGACTCTTCAAACTTAGTGTTCCTATCCTTTGTTAATTGATGAGCTGAACTCCTAATCCTTTATCAATCCTTCATTTGTCTCTTAATATCATTGCTGTATTTTGCCTACTTAGAGGCAAACTTTAGCTAAATTCTCATTCTTGTAAAGGTTATACCTTACCCTTGAAAAGGTTGAGTGTTTTGAAGTAGTTATACCTTAACCCTTAAAAAAGTAATGTTGAGAAGTTATACTTAAGCTTGTGAACAGGTAAAAAGTTTCTACTTAATCCTAGAAAAAGTAAGTGTATATTGTTTGCTTAAGCCTTGAAAAAACAAGTGTAAGGGTTGTACTTCAGCTTGTGAAAATGCACCATTGTATAGGTTATACTTCATCCTTAAAGGGTACTTGAATTAGTAGATTGCAAATTTCTTGGTGAGCTAAGGGAGAGTAAGTAAGCATCAAGGTTGAATTTGTATAAATCTTGTGTCCTTTGTGTTTGTTTTAATTTGTCACTTACGTTCTTGCTTGCATATCATCTCAAAGATTTTCAACTATGGACTTTCAAATCTCTTGCTGCTCGGTTTTAAAGGCTCTTAGTTTAGCGTAGCTCTTGACTTGTGAAAAATGATCTCTTAAAGAAATTTCAAAATACTCAATTCACCCTTTCTCTTGAGGTTTACCTAGGAGCTTAAAGATTTTAACACAAAGCATAACATTCCACACATAAATTAAGAAAATGATCACTTATGCAACTCTCACATGAGATTATTTTTAGCTATTTAATTTGAATTTTTATTCATTTTTTATATTTCTATTTCCAATTTTTATTTATTTATTTTTCTTTCTTTCATGCACATATTTAAACTTGGAAAATTATTTCAGAAAATACTATGAATAATAAAAATATGAAAGATAAAATTTTAATCATTCCTTTATTTCATTATTTATTTATTATGTACATATTTAAAACTATGAAATTATTTCAAGAAATATTAATTAGGAATAATAAAAATTGTAACAAAAATTGAACTAATTAAATTAAAAAATTATATTTGTTTACAACAAATATTTTTTAAAAGGAACTTTTTAGGAAAGTTACAATTGATAATTTTCTTAAACTTTTCAAAATAAAATAATTACGGGACCAAAAGTTTTGGGGAGAATATTTTATTTATAAAAAATAATAGGAAAGTAATTATCAAATAAAAATATATAAAATAATATAAAAACTAAATTAAAATAATATATAATAATAAAAATAAAGAAATAGAAAAGGATTTAACCCAAATTTTTAATAAATCATTCAATTCCAGCAATGAAATTTCTTCAGGTGATTTCCTTGAATGTTCTTAAGATGGGAGAACTCTCTTAGTTTTTATCAAAAGTGCTGAGAAAATTCAAGAAATGTTTCTAATATAAAATAATAATAATAAAAACAAAATAAAAAGAAAAATAATTAAGCGAAATAAAATTAAATATGAAATTAATACTTTTTATTAAAATTGAAAATAAGATAACAAATTATTAATTGGTACTATTTTTTTGAGTGGGCATCGATAATGCATAAAGCAAGCATTCTCCAAGGAAAATCCAGTCGTGAGAGAAGCACAATGTAATCGATTCAATTGAAGAGAGAAACCGAATCACAACAAGAGGGAAGTTTTCGGTCGGGAAACTCCTCCAATGACTCACTTTATCATTTTATTTTTTAAAATATTAAATTAAATAACCAATACTTTAAATTAACACCTAAGCATTTGGTTCATTAATTGATATATTATCTTCCAACTGAAAAAACAAAATTCGAATCTTCCTTCCTTCAATTATAAAAAAAAAAAAACCAATACCTTAAATTAATAAGTTTTACATATCAACAACTGATATTTATCTTAATATAACTAACGATTCTTATTTTATGACCTTAGACTAAGGTCAATTTTTATAACTTTAGAGTAGAATTCAGCTTGACGTTAAGTGTGTGAATTTCGAGTTTTATTGAACCCGAATATATATATATACACACACACACACGCATTAATATAATTCTTACGCGTTGGGTTAGGAGACTGTTATTTTGTAAGTATTTTTGGAAATTATTTTGTGAGCATTGTTCGAAGTACTAAATGGAAGCTTATCTATAAGAACAGTGCAGGCAATTTGCATAACATATGTGGAAGTAATTGTATTTTGGAGGCTGCATGCAAATATATTGTTGAAATATATAAACTAGAGTGTTGCAATATATATATATATATATATATATACACGAAATTGTGTGCATTTTTAGGATCAGTTTAGAACAGATTTTCTACGAAAAAATTAAAGGCAGTCTTATGGGTGACTTACAATTAGTATTGTATATTCCTAACTATTATCTGTAGATATTATACAAATAGTATATTTGAAAACATAAGTTGAAAAAAATTTGACGATGTTAGTAACCCTTGTTTCTGTGTTTTGCTACTTACCACAGAGAAAAAATGACAATAGTTAAGCAAATAAAATCAGAATATAAAATATTGAAAATCAAATGATTCAAGAATAAATTTAATTACATAAAATATCTAAGACTGACCTTGAGACAATTAAGTTTGTACAAAAACCATAATAGAAAAAACGAAAGCATTAGCAAAGGATTAAAACAAATATTATAAAAAAAATTAACAGTATTAACAATAAAATTAGAGTAAAATGACACTTAAACATGAATTCGAACAGTCCCAATTTGAAGTCAATTTTAATATATAAAAAGATAGTATAGATATGTTTTGCACAGCTAAATGGGTTATTGAAATAAACTTCCCCGTTTTAACTGACTGATTGTTGTAAACCGTCTCTCCTTCCCTCCCCCATATCTCTTTCTCCTACTTTCTTTTGCCTTCACTTAATCCCATGATCCCAAGTAAGGACACCGTTTCCTTTACATATATATTCATTCTCTTTCTTTAATCCCTTTTCCATTTTGTGTTTGAGTTGCAGTACTTCTTTTCTTCATTTTCCATCACTATACTTGTATACAGAAAAGAACAAACATATGTAAAGGCTGAATGTATACTTCAAACTTCAAAGTATGACTAGGGGACTGAATTCCCAGATGTTTCGTTTGCATATCATATATTATAGATACACGTGCGCTTATAAATGCTTATATTTCCACCCAGGCTGGCCAATCCTCTCTTACATATGCAAATATTGTTGATACACTGTTGCCATTGTTTTTTTTTTTTTCTAATTTTCTCTTTGGGCAATTTCGTTTTTCTTTTTAAATATCTTCAATTTTCTTCATTTTCTTTTTTTTTTATCAATTTCTTTTGTGAGTGTGAGGATGGCACTTGTAACAGGAAAACTGAAGTAGGCTTTTTGACTGGAATGTGATTGTGGAACAGACAGTAATGGGGACAGTTGTGAGTAAAGCTGCAAATGGGATTGGAGGAGTACTTGGAAACGTGTTAGCAGCTCCATTTAAGAGCGTTTTTGGTGGATCATGCGAGTGAGAAATTTATAATTATTGTTCTTTCTTTTCAATTGAAGTCTTATGATCACTTGCTAGTTTCTGTTCAATATTTTAATTAGGGAACCAAATGAGTGGGAACTATGGGTATATATTATCTCTATTCTATAATTCATCTGCATTGTACTTTTCCAATAAATCTACACTTGAGATTGTTGTACAGTGAAGAAAGCATTAAGAAAAACATGGTAGTATGTGTCATCATGATGTAATTTAGTTAATGACAGTCATGATATAGCCTTGCCATGAGGTTGAACTCCAGATTGGTTAAGAAACTTCTCTGTGCCTGGATAAGCAAAATGGACATTTTAAAAAAAGATTTGTATGTAATAACTATTATCCTGCTAATCATGTCTGAGTGGTAAAAGCTGAGATAGAGGAATATAGTTGTTTTTCTCTGTTTCCAGCAGTCTGTGTCCAAGTAATTTGTTTGGTATGTGTTTGCAGGAGTCCTCTTTCCCATTGCAAAGATTTACCCATGTTAGTATGTAGCTGCATTCCAGATTGATTTTCCATAATAGTAAACCCCCTGATCTGAAAAGTGCTTTTCTTTTCAATTTTCTCATTTCTGTCCGATGTTGGACTGACTTTTTCCCAGGATTTTGTTGTGTTTGTTGATTGCCTTGGATCGTTCCTTTTGTGTCTTCCAGTGTCTACAATGATTCAAGATGTGTAAGTGTCAATTAAATCTATCCCAGAGGAGGAAAAACCTCATAGTCCGTTTTACTTGCAAAACCGAAGTTATCCACTTGAACTAGTAGGCATCGGATGATAGCTTAAGAGAACAGCTCTTCATATATATTTCATACTCTTGCCATTTTTATAGCAAAATCAGTATGCTCCTTCATGTCTGCCCTCCATCAACTGCTTCAATGACTAGATGCCCAAATTGCAGTTGTTCGGCGGAACTATTTTCACCTTTATTCGGCCTTCAGATTCTACCTTTTCTTTTCACTCCTTTGATCCATGACTTAATTAATCACTCAGGTATAAACACAATGCAGAGAGGACTTCAGCCCCTTTTCCACAAGGATATATAGAACATGATCGTATTGAGCTCCAACCACCTTAGAGATTCATCCATTTTGACAAAGTGCTTGTTTTAAGGTTAAAAAATCATATCTGTATTCACAACTATGTGCTCTGACAAAGATTCCCAGATATATAGTTTTGGTGAGCAGCAAGAAAATGGTTTTGTTAACATCTTTCCATCTTTTCTATCTCAAGTTCACAGTATAATTTGCCCTGGACATATACTTCATAACCATCTTGCTTTTACAAACTGGGCCCTGGTCATGGCATTTCTTCAATTACCAATAGCATTTTCCTTTTGCTTACTTCATGTGGAAGGAAACATTTTGATTTGTGTTTGGCCATCGTGCACAATAGCCATGAATGGTGACCCGATATGGATATCGAAAATATGGTTATTTCTTGTAGTTTGTTTGGTGTTGACATCCAATTCCTTGCTTTGCAGGGGCATTTGTTCGGGGCCATGGGATGCAATTTGCTTTATTGAGCATCTATGTGTCTCCAATCTGGTGAAGCTATTGATGATTTTGGGCCTTTGTTTCATAAGTAATCTGTTCGGAACACAATGTTTTAGCTATAAATATACAAGAAATTTCCAAATAAACTTTCTTGGAATTCTTGTGCATGATTATTTTGTATTCGAAATAGGACCAAACAGCATCTTCTAAACTGCTAAGATCTTACTTCTTTCTCTTTAAACTTTCATTTGATTCAAGATAAGCTAACAATTTCATTTTCTTCTTCATATTTACTGTTTTGTCACAGTTTTGATGTTCCTGTACCTATTACTCAAGTTGGGGATATGCCAGTGCGTCATAAGGAGCCTTTGCAAGATATGCTGGGCAGGTTGTGAAACATACTGGTTTGCATTAGAAGATGTTACCTGTTTCTTGTGGCACAAGCTTAAGAACACAAAACGAGTAAATCGCTACCACCGTCGTCGTCGTCGTTTTCGAGACATTGAAGTAGGGTTTAGTTCAAGCAGTGAAAGTGATTATTCAGATAATTATCATCACCACCACCACCCAAGTTTCTCCAAAAGGAAGAACACAGATAGAAATAGGCAAAGACTGCAGAGCAATCACCCTCATAACCGTCATGTAAAGTTGAAGAATAGTGAAGTTTCAGTTCATCTAAGGGCCAGTTCCAGGAGGCTAAGAAGTTCTCGACGCCTTCAATTAATTAAAGGCAGAAAACCACAAAAAGAGGTCAACATATATAAGAGGAGGAGGATGGGGTGATAAGGGCAGCAGAGAAGATGATGCCATATGTGGATCTTTTGTTGGTGCTCTTCTATGGTGTCTATGGGCTAGCATGTGTCTTTTTCAGTATTTACATGGTCTTGCATGCAAATGTTTATATGTTGAAAGCTATCATATGATATTACAATCAAATCCATTTTTGTTAGTCAATTATAAGCAAACAACAGTACCTCTCACCTTTTTTATAATGACATGATATATTAATATGATGACATGATCATGTACGATTTTAACTCTCTACGTTAACATTATTTAGATGTAAAATGACAAGCGACTGTTTTATTATAATGATAATTGATGAATCATTAATTGTAAAAACTTATTAAACTTAAAATAAAAATATTAAAACTTAATTAAATGTAATAAAAAAATAAAAAAAATTAAATTTTTTTAAATAATCTGAGAGCTTTTTCAATCATTATACCAAAATTCAAAAAAAAATCCATTGAGCTTTAGACTTCATAATGAAATGTAACTCTCTTATTCTATAAAAACTCACCCACTTTCATTTTAATATTCGAACTCTTTATGTCCAAATTAAAATTTAAAATTTTAACCGTTAAAATCATTAATCATTAATTATACTTATTGTAATTTCAGTAATTTATCATTAGTCAAACAACAAAAAAAGGAAGATTGGTTGGTCAAAGCAAAATGTTTTTAGCATGATAATTTTCACAAGTGTTTATCAAAGAAGCGAGGAGGGAGACGAGGTACAAACTTGCAAGCTGAACTGACTAGTCAAAAGAGGCACAGAAAGAATCGAAATGACGGAAGTTTCAAAGTTGAATAAAAAGGATTTGATTCCCCAAACAAGGCAATGGTATTGAACGTTACCATTTCAGTCATCCACGAGTCAGGCCCATAGCAAAAGGTTTTCAACTAAACCATCCGTTTCTACTCATCACCTCAACTTTGTACTATAAAATTGGGTTCCAAGGAAAGGACCACCCCATTGCTAACAAGTAACCCTGTTTCAGCATCCACCAATTCATCAAGAGGTGAGATTCCTAATCTCCCCTTTACTTAATGTTTCTGTTTATTTGCCTTCAAGTTCATGTTATCCTTCTTTTTTATATATGATTTTCGTTTTGATTGATTCTCCATGTTACACCATTGTTAAACTCTTGTATATACAACTTGAAGGTGATAAACAGGTCTCATGAAGAAAGGAAAAAAGTTGCTAAAATGAAAAGAGAGAAGATAATGTATGTACACACACATGAATAGGCTTAACATGTATATACAAGAATTTGGTTTCCAAACAAAAATGAATCTCCTCTTTACACTGTTTCTTTAGATCTTCCTACTACAATTTGGGCAACAAAAAGAAATCTACCATCTCTTTTCATTGTTTCCTTAAATTTATTTACTACAATTTGGGTTTTTTTATATATAGTTTCTTTAATAGACACCCTAACTAATATGTATTTCTGAATTTTCACCTAAGGAATTAAATATGTACAAATATCTAGATGTATTATATTTTTTCATTGTTTGGTGAAGTCAATAAATTATTAAGTATATTTGATTATAGTGTTTGGTTCAGTGGAAATATTCTAGGAAATAACACTGATAATATGATAAATTTTTTAAAATACCCTTGAAGTTAAATTTTGTATATTTTAACTTTTAATTTTTGAAATTGTTTTAACTAAATTAAGTTATTCAATTTTTTAGTCTTTTTTTATTGAATTTAATTTAATTTTTAATTAACCTAAATTTATTTCTTTATTAAATTAAAACTTTAAATTTTTTTTAATACATAAGATTATGACAATTCGAGGGTAAAGTTTTCCTTATCCTATTAGGAGAGGGGTAAAACTGTTTTCGAAAAATTTAAACAAAGGTAAAATAGTCCAAAAATTTAAACAAGTTACTGATATACTGCTATAGCTAATATACTTACTATTACATTTAAAATGTAATTTTATTTTGTTCCTCTTGCTTATGCCTTGGTGGCTTACATTCACTAATTTTAAATAGCAATGAATTCGTTTTACAGGTCGAGAGCAAAATGATTTCTTGCTGCTTGCGCTTGTTTCTTTTTCTTTCCCTATCGAGTTTTGCTGTTGGAAGTGGACGACTCAATGCAAATTCCTACACCGTAGCATCAAGGTTTTCAGAGTTTGATCATGTGGACAATGTGCATCCCAACGTGAATGACACTGAGGGCAAAAGATGGGCTATTCTGATTGCTGGTTCCCGTGGTTATGGGAACTATAGGCACCAGGTAAAACTCAACTTATTTTCACGTATCATAAGCTCTATTCTATTCATTCCTATACTAAGGAATTCATATTAATTAATAAGGTAAAACTATACTTGGCAGGCTGATGTGTGCCATGCATATCAAATTTTGAAGAACGGTGGATTGGAAGATGACAACATTGTTGTTTTCATGTACGATGATATTGCATTCAGTGTATACAATCCAAGACCCGGTGTCATCATCAATAAACCCAATGGAGACGATGTTTATAAAGGAGTTCCCAAGGTAATTTAGTCCAAATTGCTTTCTCTTTTTTGCATGGAATTTTAGGTTATATGTATATATACATATAGATATACTTGCTCCTTTTTTGATAGGATTACACAGGGCAAGATGTCAACGTGAACAACTTCCTCGCTGTTATTCTTGGGAACAAATCTGGTCTTACCGGTGGAAGTGGAAAAGTTGTAGAAAGCGGTCCAAATGATCGTATTTTCATATATTATACTGATCACGGCAGCCCTGGATTACTTGGTTAGTACCCCCAGTAACATTATCAACTAATTTAAGTACAGTTAACCTTTCGGCTTGTCTTCCTTTTTGAAGGGTCAATATGGTCCTCACCAAGCTTTTAATTATATTTAGCTTAATGCAAACTGTTAATAATCCTCTGTATATGACTTTACACATTAACAGGAATGCCATCTGGTGATGACCTTTCTGCCAAAGATCTCATAGATGCGCTGAAGAAGAAGCATGAAGCTAAAAGTTACAAAAGCATGGTAAATTTATTATTTTTTGACAATATATTAATAGCCCTTTTTAGTTATTTTATTTATTTTATGATGAACGTATTTCAGGTTTTGTATGTTGAAGCATGCGAGTCTGGAAGCATGTTTCAAGGGATTCTTCCAAACAATTTAAGCATATATGCAATCACAGCAGCAAATGCAATGGAGAATAGTTGGGGAACATATTGTCCTGAAGATTATCCGAGTTCCCCTCCAGAATTTGATACATGTTTGGGAGACTTATTCAGTATTTCTTGGATGGAGGACAGGTTCACTATATGTTTTAATTTAATTAAAAACTCTTAAATCTTTTTTTTTTCTATATGATATAAAGACAGGCATTGTAAATGATATTTTCCAATTAATATAGTCATACTGATTGAATTTTTAATTTCCTTCTTTCCTTTTGGTTTAACATAAACAGTGACATTCATGATTTACGCAATGAAACTCTGGAGCAGCAATATCAAGCGGTAGGTGTTCAATACTATATTAACATATCATCAAATGATTAATCAACACGAATTTTGTCATTGCATATTTCAGGTTAGGAGGAGGACAGCAGTGGATAATCTGGATGTTAGTTCTCATGTCACGCAATATGGAAATGTGACACTTGAAAAGGATGTTCTCTTCTCTTATATGGGTACCAATCCAGCAAATGATAATTTTACACCTACTGCTACTGCTCACCCCATGAATTCACCAATGTCTTCAAAAGTTGTTAGCCAACGTGATGCCAGCCTCCTTCATTTCTGGCATAAGGTTTGGGGTTCATTTGTATCTTAACCCTTTTGAACAAATTCCAAAATTAGACAATATATATATATATATATTTATATATTTATGTTCATGAATTTGTAATTTTGTTTGAATTGATATTGTAGTTTCTTAGAGCTCCTGAAGAATCTGCAGAAAAGGCTGAAGCCCACAAAAGGTTGCTTGATGAACTCTCCCATAGGAAGCACATTGATCAAAGTATAAATCAGATTATAGCAATTCTTTTTGGGCATCAGAATGTCTCAGAAATGCTCAAGTCTGTTCAATCTGCTGGACAACCTCTTGTTCATGACTGGAATTGCTTCAAAATGCTTGTAAGTAGTTCAAAGATATACTAACAAAAATCCCACCCAAGCACTAGCTATAGTAATTACCATAATTCACATGCTTTGAGGCTTACCCTCTGTTTGTTTCACTCTTTGCTTTTGCAGGTTAATGCTTTCAAAAATTACTGTGGATCCGCATCTAGGTACGACATGAAGTATAGTGGAGCTTTTGCTAATATGTGCAATGCTGGGGTGGATATAAAGCAGGCTACTGCAACAATAACTCAAGCTTGCTCCATGCATTCTCCTAGTTCATGAAAGCTATATATTGAAAATAAATTTAATAATTTGAATGAGTACTTCAAATTAAAGCTTTTACATGATAAATGCCTGAAATAAGTTGTTGTCTTATATGTTGTGCTTGCTCTATATTTATAATTACTTTTGATAAACAATTAAGTGATAGTTATATGAACTTTATTAGTATCTTTAAAAAATAAATGAAAAATGATCCAAAATTACCTTTTACACCATTTGGCCTCTAGACAGGGGCGGACTTAACCAATTTTTATTGGGGGGCCAAAGACAAAAAAAAATAAAAGATAAAAATTTTTAAAATTAATATGTTGAATTTAACCAACGATCAAAAGATTCATAATAGATTATAATCTTATATAACATCTAAATAAAAAACCAAAAAAAAAAAGAGTTATAATAGTTATTTACGAAAGTTGTGCTCGATGATGTTTCCTAGATTCAAATTTATCAATTATTAACTCTGTACTGTAACGACTAGTAATATCTTTCTCAATATAAACAACTAAATTATCTGCAAGAAATTTATCATCCATTTTGTTCTGGATTCTTGTTTTCACAATTTTTATTACTGAAAATGCTCTCTTTGTAGTTGCTGTAAAAACCAGAAGAGTCAAAATAAGGAGAATAAATCTATCAATCAAGTGGTAATTCTATGACTTTTCTATTTCTGCTAATCTCTGGCACAATTTAGAAAATGTCTTAATGTCTTCAAAACTTTGATGATGAGGTATATCGAGC